CAAATATAAATATTGTTTTTGTTAGTGCAAGGTGATGAAATTGAGGAAGAAGAGAGAAAGGAATAAAATGTTAAAAGCTGCCACTAATGATTGAAGGAATTGGATTGTAATAAATGTAAACCTAGTACACCTATTTATACACAAATAAGAATGCCACATAGGCCCTAATCAAAAATATTTACAAATGATAAATACTAAATTACCCTCTAATACCATCCCGTAATTTAGTAACTTATCAGAAGTTAACAACACCAATTTCATCTCTCAAAGAAATTGGTCTGTTTTTATCGCCTTTGTCAGAACATCTGCCAGCTACTTCTGAGTGCTACAGTGCAGAACTTCTAACACTCCTTTCTGCACTTGACTTCTGAGAAAGTGATACTTCGTCTCTATGTGCTTGCTTCTTCCATGTAGCACTGGATTCTTTGCAAGATTAATTGCAGACTTATTATCAATCATCAGCTTTAGAGGTTCCTCAACTTCAACCTTCAGATCATGCAGCAGATTCAGAAGCCAAACTGCTTGACACGCAGCTACAGCACCTGCAATGTATTCAGCTTCACATGTTGACAAAGCCACAACCGGCTGTTTCTTGGAACTCCATGGAATTGGACCTCCTAGAAACTTGAACAAGTACCCATAAGTACTTCTTCTGTCAACTCTATCTCCACACCAATCAGAATCAGAATAACTCAGAAGTTCTGATTTGATCTTTCCTCCAGAAGGAAATAACACTCCATATTTCAGAGTTCCTTTTACATACCTCAGAATCCTGACAACAGCTTGGTAATGAGACCACTTTGGTTTTCTCATGTATCTGCTGACCATTCCAACTGCATAACAAATATCAGGTCTGGTATTACACAAATACCTCAGAGAACCAACCATCTGTTTGAAGGTTGTAGCATCCATATCCTCTCCATCAGAATCAGAATCCAACTTCTGATTCGTATCAGCAGGTGTGATAGCAACCTTGCAATTTGCTAGCTCAAATCTCTTCAGAATCTCCAGTTCATACTTCTTCTGATGTAAGATTATTCCTTTCTTAGAGTATATAAATTCCATTCCTAGAAACAAACTCATTTTTCCAAGATCTGTCATCTCAAACGCATTCATCAGAACTTTCTTGAACTCAACTATTTCTTGTTCAGAACTTCCTGTGAGTAATATGTCATCAACATACAAACATACCAGAATCATATTACCTTCTGAAGTATGCTGAACATAAACACCATACTCCATCTCACACTTCTGAAACCCTTGTTCCTTGAAAAACGAATCAATCTTCAAATTCCAAGCTCTGGGCGCTTGCTTCAGTCCATACAGAGCTTTATTCAACCTGTATACCATCCCTTCCTGATTCTTTTTCACAAATCCAGGAGGTTGTGACACATAAGCTTCTTCTTGTAATGGACCATTCAAAAATGCAGACTTCACATCCAGATGTATCAAAGGCCAATTTCTGTTTGCAGCTAAAGCAATCACCAGTCTGATTGTTTCGTGTCTAGCTACAGGCGCAAATACCTCAAAGTAATCTAGTCCAGGTTTCTGAAGAAAACCTATGGCCACTAGTCTCGCTTTGTGTTTGCCAATTCATCCATCTGGCTTTAGCTTCTGTTTGAAAACCCATTTGACCCTGATGGCTTTCTTGCCTTTTGGAAGTTCTGTCAGCTTCCAAGTCTTGTTTCTTTCAATAGCCTCAAGTTCTTCTTTCATGGCATTCAGCCATAATTTTTTCTTGAGTGCTTCTTCAATACCCACTGGTTCATAATCTACTAGCATGGCACACTGAACGATTTCTCCTTCAGAATCTACTTCAGTATCATGCAACATGCTAAAATCTGCAAACCTGCTTGGTATTCGTCTGATTCTCTGTGGCCTCTGATCTTGTTCTGAATTTTCTCCAAAACTTGGAACTGTGTTGGCTTCTGGACTTTGTCCAGAGTTATTTCCTTCAGAGTTACCACCTTCAGAGTTACTTCTGGAAACTTGTTCTCCAGACTCGATGTCTTCAGAGTTTTCCCTTCCAGAAATATAATCACCACCAGATTCTGGATCATCATCAGAATCTGGATCAGAATCAGATCCACTATCAGAATCTCCCTGAAATTCTGGCTCATCTTCAGAGTCTTCATCTTCTGACTCGTCTTCAGAACTTTCTGAAGAATCTTCAGAAACTAACCCTGGTGTTGGCGCTACACCAGAATCTGATTGAAGCTTGTTCCAATCCCATGTTTTTGACTCTTTTACAATGACGTCTCTGCTGATTTCAACTTTGTTGGTTTCTGGACAATAAAGCTTATAGGCACTTGTACTGTGGTACCCCACCAGTAACATTGTTTTGCTTCTATCATCCAGTTTTCGTCTTCTAGCTTCTGGAACGTGTTTGTAGCATACAGAGCCAAACACCTTCAGATGGCTAACACTTTGCTTGTCTCTGGTCCATTTTTCTAAAGGAACAGTTTCCTTCAGCTTCTTTGTTGGACACCTATTCAGAACATATGCTGATGTGGCAACAACTTCTCCCCATAACATGTGAGGTAACTTCTTCTCTTTCAGCATACTTCTGGTCATATCAAGCAAAGTTCTGTTTCTTCTTTCAGCAAGACCATTGTGCTGAGGAGTATATGGAGCAGTAACCTCATGTTCTATTCCATTCTCCTCACAGAACTTCTGGAACTCTGTAGAGTTATACTCACCTCCACCATTTGTTCTCAGAATCTCCAGCTTCTGACCACTCTGCTTCTCAGCCTTCACCTTGAACTTCTGGAACTCAGTAAACACTTCATGCTTGAACTTGATGAGTGTTACCCATGTCATTCTTGTGAACTCATCCACAAAAGACACAAAATATTTGTTTCCTCCAAGTGAAGGTACTGGAAATGGTCCACACACATCAGAATATACTACTCCCAGAGCATGCTTTGCTCTGGGGGCTACTTCTGATGCAAATGGCAATCTTGGTTGCTTGCCTTTAATGAATATCTCACATGACTTCTGAGGCTCCACAATCTTCGAAATTCCATGTACGAGCTTCTTAGAACTTAGATGCCCTAAGCTTCTATAGTTCAAGTGCCCCAACCTCTTGTGCCACAGCTTACTGTCAGCTTCAGCGCCTTCTGCACTAAGACACTCCACTTTAGAAGTTTCTACATTCACCTTGAATGTTCTGTTTCTTCCCTGCTCAGACTGCATAATCAACTTCTAATTAGAATCATACAACGTCAAGAGATTGTCCTTCATAACCACTGAGAAACCTTTCTCAATAAGCTGACCCACACTCATCAGATTGATTTTAATTCCAGGAACATACCAAACGTATTTGATCATAATGTTTCTTCCATTTTTCACTTTGACTCTAACATTTCCCATACCTTCTGCATTAAGGTACTTATCATCAGCACATCTGATCTTTGTTCTCCTTCTGGAGTCAAAGTCTATCAGCCATTGTTTATTCCCAGTCAAGTGATTTGAACAGCAGTGTCCATATACCACCAATCTCCTAAACAGTTTCCATCAGAATCAAAAGCCATCAGTAGCACAGGTTCATCGTTAGAATCTTCTCTGGCTATGTTTGCTTCTTCTGATTTCCTTCCTCTGTTTCTACAGTCTCTGGAAAAATGGCCAAACTGTTTACAGCAGTAACATTGAACCTTCTTCTTGCCATACCTTTCCTTTCCCTTATGATATTTCTTTTCATCAGAAGTTGAGGTTTCTGACTTCTGGAATTTATCACCATGTCTATTCTGCTTCTGGTCCTTCTTGACAAAAGAAGCCTTCAGAGCTTTCTCCACTTCCCTCCTAGAAGTTCTTTCAGTTAGACGTAACTCTTGCGCTTCTAGACTGCTTTGCAACTCTTCTATTCTCATGGTTTCCAGATTTTTAGAATGTTCAATAGAAACAACAATGTAATCAAACTGAGGAGTAAGTGACCTCAGAATCTTTTCTATGATTACCTGTTCAGAAAGTGTTTCTCCATAAGCCTTCGTTTCATTAGTGATCAGAATCATTCTGGAGATGTACTTAGAAACTTTCTCACTATTCTTCATGTTGAGATTTTCATATTGTTTTCGCAGGGACTGAAGCTTTACCTTCTTTACTGACACGTCACCACCATAACATCTGGTCAGTATATTCCATGCCCCTTTCGACGTCGTCGAATCAACAATCTTCTCAAACACATTTTCATCCACACACTGATGGATAAAGAACAGAGCTTTCTGATCCCTCTTCCTCGTAGCTCTTTCTTCTGATTTTTGTTCTTCAGTAGCACCTGCTGCAGCTGGAACATAACCTTCAGAAACAAGATCCAGAACATCCTGAGCACCAAACATCACACGCATTTTTATCTTCCATCTGTTCCAGTTTTTGCCATCAAAAACTGGAAGTTTAGTGTTCAAACTACTGCCTCCATTCATCTTAAACCTTGCACAAAAACTCAGATCTCAGATTTTCTCACTCAGTGTTTCCCAAACCCACAGAATCAGTGTGATTCTGTTTCAGATTTTTTTGTTCAAGATTCAAAAATCAAACACACAGCTCACTATCACTCGTGTTTCCCAGAGTTTCAGAACAAACCAAGAGCTCCAGATACCAATTTGTTAGTGCAAGATGATGAAATTAAGGAAGAAGAGAGAAAGGAATAAAATGTTAAAAGCTGCCACTAATGATTGAAGGAATTGGATTGTAATAAATGTAAACCTAATCAAAAATATTTACAAATGACAAATACTAAATTACCCTCTAATAGTTTTCCCCAATCCTGTTGAATTCATAGTAGGAGAAAACAACATATTTGGAAGTTTTCCAAATTCAATATCCAATCTAACCGATTTGAAGATTATGGATATAGGAGAGAATTCATTTAGTGGTCCAATACCTCTTACTTTAGTTTGATCAAATAAACTTTAGCTTTTTTTATTGGCTTTAATAATTTTGGAAGTGGAGGTGCTCGTGATTTGGACTTCCTTTCTTCATTAACCAATTGTACTCAACTATCAATGATGTTTTTGAGTAAAAATAAATTTGGTAGTAAGTTGTATGACCTTATAGGAAACCTTGCCATCAATCTGAATACTCTTGATTTAAGGGATAATCAAATATATGGAGTGATACCTGAAAGAATTGGACAACCAACTGGTTTAACATACTTAACCATTGGAAACAATTCCTTAGAGGGATCAATTCCAAATTCAATTGGAAAGCTTACAAATCTAGTAAGATTGGTCTTACAAGAAAACAATTTATCTGGTAACATTCCTTTGAATGTTATCTTACTATCTTATCTGAATTATATCTTCCAGTTAATAAATTGGAAGGAAACATTCCATTTTCCTTGAGATATTGCACTCAATTGCAAATCTTAAGTATTGCTAAAAATAAATTGATTGGTGATTTACCAAATTAGTTATTTAGATATCTAGATGGTTTAATATATATTTACTTGTACAACAACTCTTTCACTAGTCCCATTCCTTCAGAGTTTGGTAACTTAAAGCATCTTTCACAATTGTATCTAAATCAAATAATTTGTCGGGTGAAATTCCTAAGGATTTAGCTTCTTGTTTATCACTGACAGATCTTTGGTTAGAGAAAAACTTCTTATATGGAAGTATACCCTTGTTCTTGGCCTCTTTAAAATCCTTAGAAGTCTTAGACATTTCTAACAACAGTTTCTCAAAAACAATCCCCTTTGAATTAAAAAACCTAACATTTTTTAATACTTTGGACTTGTCATTTAACAATTTGTATGGTGAAGTTCCAAAAAAAGGTGTATTTAGCAATGTCACAAAGGTTTCACTAATTGGAAATAAGAAATTTTGTGGTGGGATATCTCAATTAAAGCTTCCTCCATGTTTGAAAGTACCTTCCAAAAAGCACAAAAGATCTCTAAAAAGGAAACTTATCATCATCAGTGTATTTGGTGGGATTTTGATCTCTTTCATAGCTTTTATAATTGTCCAATTTCTCTTGAGAAAATCCAAAAAGTTACCTTCTTCACCATCTCTTCAAAATAGGGCACTAAGAGTTACTTACGGAGAGTTACATGAAGCATTCAATGGATTTTCTTCAGCCAATTTGGTAGGGACGGGAAGTTTTGGATCTGTTTACAAAGGATCTCCTCTCAACTTTGAAAGACCTATTGCTATAAAGGTGTTGAATCTTGAAACACGTGGGGTAGCAAAGAGTTTCATGGCAGAATGCAATGCTCTAGGAAAGATGAAGCATTGAAATCTTGTTAAGATCATAACATGTTGTTCAAGTGTTGATTACAAAGGTGAAGATTTCAAAGTTATTATTTTTAATGGGAGTCTATAAAAGTTGTTGCATGATAATCAAGGATCTAAAAATCATAGTCTCAACTTCACACAAAGAGTAGACATTGCTCTTGATGTAGCTCATGCATTGAATTATCTTCACCATGATGAAGACCAAGTTGTAGTTCATAGTGATGTTAAGCCAAGCAATGTTCTTCTTGTTGGAAATCCACTAAATATTTATGATGAATTTCTATCAATCTTGATGAATAAGATTGATATCATCACACAATGACAATAAACTATGAGAAAAGAAAATAAAGGAGACAATCATTTACTGCAGAGTTTCTCTCTGCCCATAAACTGTGGAAAACTTTATTAATCACTTGGAACTGAAAATTATGTGATTATAATGAATTGACTTGATTTTATTGATTACAAAATTAGGGGTTACTCTCTTTATTTATAGATTTAGCTTGCTCCCTAAGCCCAAAACTATAAAAGTCCAAAATACCTATTTTGGTACTAAATCAAATCAATTCTATTTTAGACTTAAATCAAATCTATCTAAATCTAAAACAAATCTAATCTGTGCAGCTTGCTTCGATCCACAATCTCTTCGACTGGGCAATAGCTTCCTTCGAGCAACCTGCTTTGATCCACCTCTAAGCCTTTCGACACACATAGTTTCGATATAATAAATTATAATTTAACACACCACCTAATTCATTGTGTCTAAACTATCTATATTCATCATGGTTCTTAGTCTTCGAAATACTTCGACCTGCACACCCTTTGTCATGATGTCTGCAATTTGATTCTCAGTACTGCAGTGTTCCAAATTCATCTTCTCATCTGCTACCTGCTCTCGAAGATAGTGGAACCTTATTTCGATGTGCTTGCTTCGACCATGTGTTATCGGGTTCTTCGCCAGATTGATAGTTGACATGATGTCGATCTTCATGGTAATTGCTTCATGATCTTTCTTTGTTATCTCTTCGACCAAGTTCACCATTCAAGTTGCTTGACATGCACAAAGAGAAGCAGCTATGTATTCTGCTTCGCATGATGATAATGCCACTACTGGTTCCTTTCTTGAACTCCAAGCAACTAGTGCACCACCTAACATTAACAAATATCCTACTGTTATTTTTCGATCTTCAGCATCACTACACCAACTCGAATTAGTGTATCCCACTAACTTGCACTCTTTTCCTTTATCAGCTGCAGGAAACAAAATTTCATAGTCGAGAGTTCATTTGAGATATCTTAGTATCCTCTTCACCACTGCTAAATATGATACCTTTGACTTATGCATGAATCTACTTACCATACCTACATTATATGCTAAGTCAGGCCTTGTATGAAGAAAAAAAAGGTATCTCAATGACCCAATAAGTCTTATGTATTGGGTTAGGTCAACATCATCTTCATCTGCATCTTTCGACAGTTGCAGTCTTGGTTCTGCAGGTGTCGAAGTTGAGTTGCATTCTTCCATCTCAAATCTCTTGAGAATTTCTCCTGCATATCTTCTTTGATGCATCATCAAAGCTCTACTGCTCTTGTAGAATTCGATGCCAAGGAAATATGAAATCTCACCTAGATCAGACATTTCAAATTCCTTGTTGAGATCACCTTTGAAGTATTCGATCTCACTTTGAAGTCAATGCATACAGGACTTTATGCAGCATGTACACCTTTCTCTCTTCGTCATGTTTCCCAAATCCAACTGGTTGTTTAACATAAACTTCTTTGTCTAAGGGTCCATTCAGGAACTCACACTTCACGTCCATCTGACATGTGTGCCATCTGTTTATTTCTGGTAGACCAATAACCAACCTGATTGTTTCGATCCTAGCAACAGGTGCAAAAAATTCATCGAAGTCTATTCCTTCTTTCTGTAGAAATCCTTTCTCCACAAGCCTTGCTTTGTGTCGAGTTACTTCCCCTTTGGGATTCATCTCCACTTTGTATACCCACTTGACATCAATTGCCTTCTTGCCTTGAGGCAATTCGACAAGTGACCAAGTGTTGTTGTCTTCGATAGACTTTAATTCTTCGTTCATTGCTTTCACCCACTTCGAATCTTTCAATGCTTCAGCTGCATTGACAGGTTCGACAACTACATAGAAAGCATAATGTATTAACTCACATTCATTATCTATCACATCATCTGATGTAATCACACGATCTTGCAGGCTTGCGTCTTGTTCTTTGAGGCCTGCTTATACTTGGTTGATCTATAACTGCTGGTTCCTCTTGTCGAACTTCTCTTTCGACTTGAGTCTCTGGTTCTTTAAGTAGGATTCCCACTGAATATTTCTTGACATTTTCACTCTAATCTCATTCTTTAAATTCATCTATGATCACGTCCCTGCTGATCATAACTGCTTCTTTACTGGGTCGAACAACTTGTAGTCTCTTGTCAAATGATATCCAACTAGAATCATTTGACTTAACTTGTTATCAAGTTTTCTTCTCAACTGATCTGGAACATGTATATGTGAAATAGATCCAAATACTTTCAGATGACTCAATCTAGGCTTCACACCAGACCAGCATTCTTCTGGAGTAATTCCTTCTAGTTTCTTCGTAGGACATCTATTCAAAATGTATGTTGCAGTCGAAACGGCTTCACCTCAAAACTCTTTAGGTAAATTCTTGCCTTTCAACATACTTCTCACCATATTCATGATGGTTGGATTCTTCCTTTCTGCAGTTCCATTATGCTGTGGAGTATAGGGTGGCACCACCTCATGCATAATCCCTTCCTTTTCACATAACTTGTCGAAGTTTTTCGAAACAGACTCTCCACCACCATCAGTTCTTAAAACTTTGAGTTTTCGACCACTTTGTCTTTCGACCATAGAATTAAACTTGAAAAATACCTCGATCACTTCACTTTTCTTCTTTATCAGGTAAGTCCACAGCTTTCGACTGAAATCGTCTATGAATGTAACAAAGTATTTGTTACCTCCCATCGAATCCACCTGGATTGGTCCACATACATCCAAGTATATGACTTCAAGAATAGCCTTCAACCTGCTTCATGCATCCTTGTTGAAGTTATTCTTGTGTTGCTTCGCCTTCACACATTCCTCACATACCTCATTTAAAATGTCGATTTCTGGCAATCCTAAAATCATATTTCTTCTCTTCAAATCTTTGATGTCTCTGAAGTTGAGATGGCCTAGTCGATAATATCATATCCATTCATCTCTACTAGCTGCATTCGAAAGGTACTTGTGCTCCATCACATTTAGTTCGATCTTGAAGGTTCTATTTTGAGACATAGGAGCCTTCAAGATTAATCTTCCATTTGCAGTTACGAATCTCATTATCTTATCTTCGATCGCCACTTTATAATTCTTTTCGACCAATTGTCCTATATTGAGCAAATTTCTCTTCATGCCTGGTATGTACAACACATTGGAAATTACTAACCTCTTGTCATCTTTCCTCATAATCATATCATCACCAATACCTTCAGCTGCTAGGGTATTGTCATTTGCGAATTTTACCATATTTTTTATTGAGGGCTTTATGTTGAAAAACCAGTCTTTCCTTTCAGACATATGTGATAAGCATCCCGAATCCAAGTACCATTGATCCTTAAATCTATCTTTATCTCTTTTTGTGACCATCAACATCATCTCTTCTTCTTCATGTTTTGTAAACTTTGCATCACTTTCTTGATTCTTTTGTTTTTCTGGACAATCACTCGAATAATGACCATACTTCTGACAATTGTAACATTGAATGTGACTCTTGTCAGGTTTTCGAACATGCTCTCTTCCTCTATTTGCAACACCACCTCTTTGGTTGTATTGGTATGGTCTTCTTTGATTCGACACGTTTCATTTGTTCTGGTTTCCTCTACCATTCGATTTGTTGTAGCTGCCTCTACCTCTGTCGAACCATTTTCCTTTGCCTTTGGTTTCTTTTGCTGAATGTGCTTGCAAAGCCACATCACTCTTCGATTTGCCTGCATCTCTTTCAGTCATTCTTTGTTCATGAGATTCAAGCGTCCCTTGAAGCTCTTCCTTTGTCAATTTCGACAAGTATTTCCCTTCTTCTATAGCCACCACTACGTGGTCGAACTTAGGAGCCAAAGATCTCAAGATCTTCGAAACAACAACTCTTTTTGTTAATGTTTCTCCATATACTTTGATTTGATTCACTAGTTTTGTAATCCTAGTGAAGAAATTAGATATGCTCTCATTATCTTCCATCTGAAGCAATTCATACGTTCTTTTGTGAGTTTGTAACCTCACTTCTTTCACCTTTTTTGCACCACCAAAATACTTTTCAAGTACATCCCAAGCTACTTTTGTAGATTCTAAATCACTCACTTTTTTAAAATTTTCTGGATTCACACATTGATGAATTATAAAGAGTGTTTTATAACTCAGCTTCTCAATTTCTGTGTGTTTCTTCCTTTCTTCTTCTGAAGCGTTTTCTCCAAGCGCTTCGAATCCATCTTTTACAAGATCCCAAAGACCTTGACACCTGAACAAAACTTTCATCTGTTTGCACCAATTCTTATAGTTGTCTACTTTTAGAATTGATAGAGTTGCTGGATAATTTGCATTCCCATAATTCGCCATCGTGAATTCTTTTTCTTCCTCAATCGTTCTTGATCGATACTTCTCTTGAATCGAAACCGAGCTCTTGATACCAGATGTTAGAAATCCACCAAATATCTAATGAATTTCTACCAATCTTGATGAACAAGATTGATATCACAACATAATGACAATGAATTATGATAAAAGAAAATAAAAGAAAGAAGACAATTATTTTCTGCAGAGTTTCTCTCTGCCCACAAATTGTGGAAAACTTTATTAATCACTTGCAACTGCAATTCTGTGATTACAATAAATTGACTTGATTTTATTGATTACAAAATTAGGGGTTACTCCCTCTATTTATAGATTTAGCTTGCTCCCTAAGCCCAAAACTATAAAAATCCAA